CACAATAAACTAGAGTGACAGAATTGACACTGGTGGAGCAGTGTCCTTTAGAGAGGGCTGTCAGGGAGGCCCTGTGCCGGCCCTCGTGGTGGGCATGGCCTCAAACCTGTGTTCCCAGCACTGAGCTCCGCTGCTGCCCTGTCAGCAGGCCGGTGTTGGAAGACGTGTATGTGTGTTTAAGCAAGTGCGTATCCAATATGATCTTTGCAATTAGGAACCATCCTGAATAATGGGCCCTTTTGCAGTATTCTTTTCTGGTATGCTCTTGGGTTTATTTTTATTTTTTATTTTTATTTTTATTTTTTTGAGACAGAGTCTCACTCTGTTGCCCGGCTAGAGTGAGTGCGTGGCGTCAGCCTAGCTCACAGCAACCTAAAAACTCCTGGCCTCAAGCGATCTCCTGCCTCAGCCTCCGAGTAGCTGGGACTAAGGCATGTGCCACCATGCCCCGGCTAATTTTTCATATATATATTAGTTGCTGATTAATTTTCTTTTATTATAGGTAGAGACGGTTCGCTCTTGCTCAGGCTGGTTTCGAACTCCTGACCTTGAACGCTCCTCCCGCCTCGGCCTCCCAGAGTGGTAGGATGACAGGCGTGAGCCACCACGCCCGGCCTGCTCTTGGGTTTAAAAGACAAATAACAAAGAAGATTCGTCGTATGTGTTACAGGGTGGTTCAGTGTAACTGTCCGTGGTTTCTTTCCATTCCCCCATCTCTGGGGTTGGACTGGCCCTCGGGGGTCGTGGCAATGACCCAGCATTTAGCGTGGAGCTGCCAAGAACAGGGATGCTGAATGTCCAGAGGTTCGTGGGACAAACTCACAGTACCAAAGACTCGCCCTGGCCAAGATGACAGTGGCGTTCCTATTGAGCAATGCTGGTTGAGGCACACGGTGGGCGTAGGCTTACGTGTGTCGAAGCCTCTTGTGCCGAGGGGATGAGGTTTGGAGGGTTTTGACCTTGGATTTCATTTCGTTCTTTCCCAGTCTATGGCAAAGGCCAGGACTTTGACCTGCTCCCAGTGTATTTTGTTCTGTTTTTTTTCCTTCTTCCTCTGGATATGTGAAATTAGCAAGACCAGAAAAAGCTGATCTGGGTTTCCCCCCCCTTTCTTGCTTTTCTCCTCCTCTTCCTCTTCTTCCTCCTCCCCCTCCTCCCCCCTCCTACCTCCCCCTCTTCCTCCCCCCTTCCTCCTCCTTCCTTCTTCCTCCTCTTCCTTCTTCTTTCTTCTTCTTTCTTCTTCCTCCTCCTCCTCCTCCTTCTTTCTCCTCCTCCTCTTTTTTCCTCCTCCTTCTTCTTCCTCCTCCTCCTTCTTCCTCCTCCTCCTCCTTCCTCCTTTCTCCTTCTTCCTCCTCCTTCTTCTTCTTCCTCCTCCTCCTTCTTCCTCCTTCTTTCTTTCTTTTTTTTTGCTATATAAAGTTTAAAAAGCTGTGGCCCTTTGGGTTGCCAGTCTTCTCTCCAGTCAAGGAAAAAAAGTCTGTGAATCGCAACGTTGACCTGCAACCGGAGAGCCAGCGGGAGGGGGAGCCAGGCTGGCAGATGTGACGCGGTTGTCTGCCGTAAATCACCTTCCGTCGTGGGGGCTGGCATATGGCCAGTGAGTGTCCTAATTACTGATTGGCTTTTATAGCCCCATTATTTATAATCACTTTTGAATAGCAGCTGGAACACTACAGTGAGGTGGAGAGACAGTAGTTGAGTGTGAAAATTATAACTGTTTATGGAATTATGGAGATTAGGAATATCTGATGATCAGCCTAGAACTCGCTTCCCTAAATATTTTTTAAACAGGTACACTATGTACCACAGCCTTTAAAAATGAGAGCTGTGATCAGTTGCGGAGATAAATCTTAATGGGTTAATAATTTTTAACTTAATGGGTTTGCAGCCTATAAAATAACTAGAGGAAACCTGCATGCAGCCACAATTCATATAAAATAGGTCCTGTCTCTCCACCTCCCTCCTGCGACTGTAGCAATTACTAGTGGCGCTCTCTTGTGTTTCCCACTTTGAAACGTGTTTAAAGAGGGGTGCCATGCAGAGAATAGACTCACAGGGGCGATCTGTGGATGGGAAACAGTAGCACTTTTTCCAGAACCATCAAATGACGTGGGTGTCACTGCTGGTCCTTGCTCTCATGGTCCAGTAGACATGGAAGTGGCACGCGGCACTGCAGCATGTTCGTGTGAGATGTCCCACCTTGAACTCCGGCCCCAGCCAACTGTTGCACGAATGAAAACAGACCACATTTGGGGAAGAGTTTGCAACCCGTATTATCTATCCCTGTCTGAGAATACACTGGGGTGAGGCTGGGCGGGTAGAGGAACAGCTGTGTTAATTACTACGGATGTTTGAGGCTATGGAATACCAATGAGATCTCAGTTGCATTTGCATAAAAACACTTAAAACATCCTACCTGTCCCCAGATTCCCAAACCCTAGAGTGCAAGGCTGTAATAATCCTGGGTGCTGGCTCCTGGGGGAAGCCCAGGCGGTACGTTCTCTGGAAGCCAGTGTCATTCAGGTGTCACCTTCCCGGTCTCTCGGTATGGTCAGCATCGAGAGGAACATTGGCACAGCTTTAAGACGGGGCAGTTGAGAAGGGAAGTCAGTCTTTGGTTTTCACATTGAGATTCACATAGGTGTTTTCTAGTATCGTAGTCAGTGTGACTGTTCTAGAAAAATGGTGAATTGTTTTTATTTTGAAAAAACTCTCAAAGCCATACTAACATTGAAAGATAGTAACATTGGAAGAACAGCATAACGTATTACGCCATCACCAAGACTCACCAGCTGCTAACATCTTGCCATACTCATTCCATCTCTCTGTATGTGTGCATATTTCCGTTTTGCCAGATCATCTGAATTTAGGCTGTTGATGTCACCCTCTGTTCCTAAATAAGTAACATTGCCCCAAAATGACGACATTTTCCTACAAGCCATGAGACGGTTGTCACATCTCAGCATCCTTTCAGTAACATCATCAGACTTTCAGTCCATCCTCAACGTTACCCCGTGTGAACCAGGAATGTCTTTCCTCGTGTTTTTACTGTTTTACATTCAGGATCCAGTCCAGCTCACGTGTGCTGCGTTGTGATGATCCTTGGTAAAAGAGTAACTTTTTATTTTATTTTTGAGACAGAGTCTCACTCTGTTGCCCCGGCTAGAGTGCCGTGGCGTTAGCCTCGCTCACAGCAACCTCAAACTCCTGGGCTCAAGCGATCCTCCTGCCTCAGCCTCCCGAGTAGCCGGGACTACAGGCATGTGCCACCACATCTGGCTAAATTTTTCCATTTTTGGTAGAGAGAGGGTCTTGATCTTGCTCAGGCTGTTCGTAAACTCCTGGCTTCAAGCAATCCTCCTGCCTCCCTCCCAAAGTCAGTGATTCTGTATGTTTCATAGGTTCCTAATGGAACTCCGTATTCCACTCAGACCTGTTCACCACCAGCTAAGCACAAACATTGGAACCATTTTTGACTCCTCACTTGCAGTTGGTATCTTCCCCCAACATACTGACAAACTGAATCAGTTCCAGCTTTAAATTACATCTCCTCTCTGTCCTTCCCTGCCCTTCGTCCCAGCTCTTCCTTTAGTCCAGGCCACTCCAGGTCTTGTACGATCACCTCTCCTGGCTTCTTCCCATTGCCTGCCTCTACATGCGACCCCACTGCACAGCTCAAGTAACCTCAACCTGTAACAGCTTGCACCCCACTGCACAGCTCAAGTAACCTAACAACTGAAGGTAACCTCAGAATTTAGACCACACCTTCCACCTCCATGGCTAAAAACCTCTTCAGTGCATTCCTCCTGTGCTTGGAACAAAATACAAGCTCCTTATGGTGGCCCACAAGACCCAAATTTGTCTAGCCCCTGCTTCTCTTTTTATCCCCAACCTATGCCACCCTTTGTTGTAGCTTCATGCTACCTCTCTAGCATGCTAACCTCTTTCCTACTTCCGAACCTTTTGCACATGCTGTTCCCTCCGCCTGGAACATTCCTCCTCTGACACTTTGCAGAGCAAACTAGCTTCTTAATCTCCTTTAGTTTTCATCTTAACAATTGCCCATGCCCCAAGGCCATCCCCTTCTTCATTCTTCCCAACATGGGCATGTCACCTCCTGCTTGGGGCTCTGTATTGTCCTTGTAGTATCCTTGGCTGTAGGTACTTAATATGATACTTGTTGAATGAGTAAATGAACCTCCCCGTGTGCATAAGTGTATAATTACTGTACATGTGTTTACATATGTATGCCTACACTGGGCATCCAGTATCAAAATATTCATTGTGCTGCAAATGAAGTTACAGGTGACTTTTAACTTTCTTTGTTGTGCTATCGTTCATTTTTCAAATCTTGTAATTTGTGTTTCTTTTTTATTGTGGTGAAATATACATAACATAAAAATTTATAACTTTCGCTGCTTTTAAGTTCTATGCGTTTCTGTGGCATTATGCATATTCACATTGTTGTGTAATCATCACTGATGTCTAGCTCCAGAACTTCTTTGTCATTCCCAACTGAAAGTCTGTCCCCATTAAACAGTAACTCCCCAGTAACTTATGAATGTTAGGAACAATGTTAGAAAAAATATATTAGAAAGAAAACAATGGCCGGGCGCGGTGGCTCACGCCTGTAATCCCAGCACTCTGGGAGGCCAGGCGGGCGGATTGCTCAACGTCAGGAATTCGAAACCAGCCTAAGCAAGAGCGAGACCCCGTCTCTACTATAAATAGAAAGAAATTAATTGGCCAACTAATACATATATAGAAAAAAATTAGCCGGGCATGGTGGTGCATGCCTGTAGTCCCAGCTACTCGGGAGGCTGAGGCAGGAGGATTGCTTGAGCCCAGGAGTTGGAGGTTGCTGTGAGCGAGGCTGATGCCACGGCACTCACTCTAGCCTGGGCAAAAAAAAAAAAAAGAAAGAAAAGAAAACAAGTAGCAAACATCTTTTTTCAGACAAATTTCACTTAAATGAATTTCGGATTATAAGTGTGACTGTAAAACAAGTTAATTTGTTTTTCAATTTATAGTTTTGTGTTTAAAAAAAAAGTCCTATTCTTTATAAACCTAAAGTGCTGAACGGACAGATTTTTTTTTGCTGTAATAGCTCCACTGCAGTGCAAACCATTTGTGTTGCCTTAATAAATGGACCTTTCCCACAACTGTAATCATTCCTTGAAGAAATTGTGTGCTAAGGCAGAATCACCTGGAAGTGTGATTAGTTTAAATATCCTTATGCAGGTTTCCCTCAGCATTGAAAATTTGAAATGTATTAAAGTGTCAGTTCTCATTGTAATGGAACCCTGTTCTTTGACCTTCTAGATGCGGATGTAGATGTACATGAAGAGAATTGCATTTTGCCCTCTACATCAGAAATGGGTGAATTAAAAGGATTCAAAGTGGTCTTTTGGGAAACCTAGTTTCTTGACCAGGAAGATTATTTCTGTTGACTCACATTCCTTTTAGGATCTCTATCCTAGGAGATAGAGATCACTCCAAGCCAGGTGCCCGCATAATCTATCACTTTAAAAATGATGCTTCTGGTAGTATTGGCAGAAAACTTTATAGCATGGGAGAAGAAAAGTTAGAGAAACTTTATACAGCTCAATTATATTAGGGGATCATTTCATGTTTAAATAGTGACGAGCATAATTCACAACATAAATAAGTGATAAAGCAACCCTTTCTAGAACATATAAAAGACATTTTTATCAAGAATATGAAGACAGTCCATTGGGAAAATGCACAAAAATATGAATAGGCAAATCATAGAAAAGGAAACAGGAAAGACAATTTTTATTTATTTTTTATTTTTAGACAGAGTCTTGCTTTGTTGCCCAGGCTAGAGTGAATGCCGTGGCGTCAGCCTCGCTCACAGCAACCTCAGACTCCTGGGCTCAAGCAATCCTCCTGCCTTAGCCTCCCAAGTAGCTGGGACTACAGGCATGCGCCACCATGCCCGGCTAATTTTTTTCTATCTATATTAGTTGGCCAATTAATTTCTTTCTATTTATAGTAGAGATGGGGTCTCGCTCTTGCTCAGGCTGGTTTTGAACTCCTGACCTCCAGCAATCCACCCGCCTCGGCCTCCCAGAGTGCCAGGATTACAGGCGTGAGCGGCGTGAGCCACCGCGCCCGGCCTGGAAAGACAATTTTTAAAGTGTAATAGAATGCTTAATCTTACTAGTTGTGAATTAATGTAATGCTCATGTATCATTTTATCTTTATTAGAATGGGAAGCATTTACAAAGTTGGACTGTGCAGAAAAGAGTTAGTGGCAGCTGGTTTGAAGGATAAGTTGGCACTTGGCTGGCATCTGGCAACTTGGATTTTGGGGGATTTCTTATATTCCTGGAAGTGATAAGAGTGGTTCACCACTGTTTCTGAACTGTCCATCCAAATGCTATTGTTTATGCTTTTTCCCCTGAGAGTGTGGAGTTCCGTTTTGTGCTAAGGCAGAAGCAACCTATGCAACCAACTATTAGTGAAAGCCCTGGGCCCTGAACGTCCAAGGAGCTTCTCTGGTTGGTGGGCAGCTTTTCACACATGTTCCTGAGGGATGGAAGTGTGACTTCTTTGGGAGAGGACTCCTGGAAACTTCCACCTGATTTCCTCTGGACTTTGCCCCATGAGCCTTTTCCCTTTGCTGATTTTGCTTTCTGTCCTTGTGTTGCAATAAATTACAGCTGTGAGTACAACTACTAATATGTACTGATTTTTCTGAATCTTCCTGGTGATTCATTAAATCTAGGAGTGGTCTTGGGGGCCCACAATACAGTGACAACAGCAAATGTTGGCCTCGGTGCAGGGAAACAGAACCTCCAAAACTGTCACCACCTTTTTGGAGATGAATTCAGTAATAACAAGATAAATTGAAGATGTCTGTGTCCATTTCCAGGTTTAGATCTTCTAGAGGGAAAAAAAACCTCACATTTGTGTAATAAAAGGATCTAATAAAAAGGCATTACAGTAACATTTGTAGGAACATTGTTTATATTGGAAATAGTTGAATTTTCCGTAAAGGGGAAATAATTTCAGTAGTTATTCAATTTTTAAAATTGGATATGATACAACATTTAAAATAACAGAAATTACATCAATCAGACATGGTTAAAATTCTACAAAATAATGAGTGAAAAAAGCAGAGGTATATTAGTATAAGTTTAAGAGACAGAATTACAGAAATATAAAGATACAGAAATATAAAATAATTTCAAATCCAGATAGAATCTAAGCCCCATTTTTCTCTCGTTAAATTATAAAATTGTCTCACGGTAAGCTCTGAACCCTTTTCTTGGTAAAAGTTCTGCGTATAGTCATGCATCCCTTAATGACAGGGATATATTCTGAGGACTGTGGCTTTAGGCAGTTTTGTCATTGTGTGAACATCATAGATACATATTTGTGCAAAACCTGGATGGTATGCCCTGTTCACCTAGGCTGTGTGGTATAGCCTGTTGCTTGTAGGCTATAAACCTGTATGGAATGGGACTGTCCTGAATATTGTAGGCAACACGATGGTAAGTATTCATGTATCTAAACATAGAAAAGGTACAGTAAAAATACAGTATATAATTTGATGGCACCGCTGTTGTATGTATGGTCCATCATCAAGGATTGATTATGCTTGGCGTAACTGTATTCCTGACCTGTGTTCTCTTTCCCATTTACAAAACAAATCTTGAATTTCAAAGAAAGTGAAGATGCCATGACAGACTGTCTTGCAATTTATTATTTCATTGGCTCACTGCCCTTGACAATTAGGATAAGATTTAGAGACATGTCTCCTGAATAATTGGCAATTAATTTGAGATTTGATGCCAAAAAGTACAGTGTTCTTAATGGAATGTGAAGGCTGAGGCTTTTTACTTCCAAATGTCACAGAGCGCGGAGTAAATGTTAACCGGCAGCATAGGTAAGCCTGCCCTTTTGCATATCTGCGGTAGAGAGGAGTTTTAGTTTGGTGATCATAAGCCCTTAGCTAGCTTGGGTAGTTTGAACATAGAGCTCAAGTGCAAACCATTCTTGGGCTTACACTTAAGAATGCCTTCCAATCTACATTCCCCTGATTTATCCTGGCATTTACTGCATGTGATTCACAAGGATGTACGAGTCTACGTTGTATATGGGGATAAAGAGATACCGTATCCTGAATCTCCTTTGGGATTTTTCTTTTGACTCAGGCCATACTTTTGGGTATCATGGACATCTTTGCCACTCAACTGATAGCTGTCAGTGTCTTTTTAATGTCAAGAACTGTTGTCTCTTAAGGAGAGTATCAAATCTTAGATTAGAGGCAATGGGAATTTTGTTGGTGAACATTGTTACCTTTTGAATCAAATTCTAGAGTGCCTTGTACCTCAAGCTAGAGTTACCAGGTACGACTATGGAATATCAGTGATTTACCAGTTGATTTTGTTTCCTGAACTTGAGCTCCAGCACAGTGCCTGGAATATATTAACCCCACACTAAATGTTTATTAGCAAGTTTCCATATGCCTGCTCCATTTTAGCACAAGTAGACTTTTATTCGCTTCTAGAAACACTAGAAATAGCCTTTAATTCAAATCTCCTTAGGCTTGTATTTTGTTCCTGGCTATTTCTAAACCAACAGGATAGATTCTATGTTTATGTGCATTTTTTTTTTTTTTTAAAGATTAACAGTTCGCAGTGGGATTGATTTTAGGTCTTTCCTCACTTATCTCGATAATTGCCCATTCGACATTATAATTATTATTTCCATTTTCCATTGAGTGATTTCTTTTTGTAAAGCACTGGCCAAATGGATCATCCCATTTAATGGGATCCCACAACAGTTTTGTGCCGGAGCTACTATTGTATCAGTTGTTCTGTTTTTACAGATGAGGAAAGTCAGGTTGAGAGATGAAGCCCTATGCTCAGGTGTGCTAGCCGGTCTGTCTTAACTGCCAGTATTAACTCTTTTCCTTTCAGTTAGCTCAACTTTCTAAGGGAAATAGAACTAAGGAACTAGACCAGGGCTCCTCAAACTTTGTAAACAGGGGGCCAGCTCACTGTCCCTCTGACCATTGGAGAGTGTGCACTGTGGGCCCGGGACGAGTCGGCTGCTAAACAGGACAGGCAGCGGTGGCAAAGACACCCGGTGGGCCGGATACATGTGCTCCGTGGGCTGCATGTGGCCCGCGGGCTGCAGTTTGAGGATGCCTGATCTAGACAGTGCCTAGCACATAGTCCTCATTCAGTCCTTATGCGTATTTTACAGTTTTGAAATCAGTTTTATTGTAATGCAATTTATATATAAAAAACGCACTCCTTTAATGTACACAGTGCTGTGAGTTTGGACAAATACATAAGCCCATGTTGTTACTACTATAATCAAGAAATACTATATTAGTATCTCCTCCCAAAAGTTCTCTTGTGTTCCTCCTATTTATTTATTTATTTGTTTGTTTGTTTGTTTGTTTATTTATTTATTTATTTATTTATTTATTTATTTATTTATTTATTTTGAGACAGAGTCTTGCTTTGTTGCCCAGGCTAGAGTGAGTGCCATGGTGTCAGCCTAGCTCACAGCAACCTCAAACTCCTGGGCTCAAGCAATCCTCCTGCTTCAGCCTCCCGAGTAGCTGGGACTACAGGCATGCACCACCATGCCCGGCTAATTTTTTGTATATATTTTTAGGTGGCCAATTAATTTCTTTCTATTTATAGTAGAGACGGGGTCCTGCTCTTGCTCAGGCTGGTTTCGAACTCCTGACCCCGAGCAATCCACCCGCCTTGGCCTCCCAGAGTGCTAGGATGACAGGCGTGAACCACTGTGCCCGGCCTGTTCCTTGTTTTTAAAAATATATTTTGAAAATATTATATACTCACAGGTTGTTGTAAAAAATAGTATAGAGGCCCTGTGTACCCCTGGCCTGGTTTCCTCCATGGCAGCATTCTATGCTCCATAGATGTCATGCCATCCTGCCCCGTTGCAGTTAGTCTTTGTCCTCAGCTCCAGGTAACCACTGAACTGCTTTCTGTCACTATGAGTTAGTTTAGCCTATTGCAAAACTTTATATATAAATGGCATTGTGCAGTATTTTCTCTTTTGTGTCTGTCTCCTTTTGTTCAACATTACGTGTTTGAGATTCACCAGTGTTACTGCCTGTGTTACTAGTTTGTTCCTTTTAATTACGGTATAGCATCCCATCGTTTGAATATACCACAGTTTGCTCATCGGTTCACCTTCCGACAAACATTTGGGGTGTTTCTAATTTTGGGCTATTTGTGAATACTGTTATTGTGAAGATTTATATACAGGTTTTTTTCTTTTTTGGGGGGGACTTGTTTTCATTCCCCTTCATGTAAATGTGAGTATAATTGTCGGATCACTTGGCTAGCAAAGGTATAACTTTGTAAGATATTGCCGAATTGTTTTCCCAAGAGGATCAATGAACCACTTTGTATGCTCACTAGCTGTTTGTAAGAGTTCCTGTTCCTCTACAACCTTGTTAACACTTGATATTATTGGAATGTTCCATTTTTTGTTATTCTGTTGGGCATGTAGTGGGATCTCATTGCGATTTTAAGTTGTATTTCCCTGATGACTATGTGATATCTAACACTTTTTCATGTGTTTAATGGCCAGTCACGTAGATATTCCTTTGTGAACTATCTGTTCAAACCTTGTGCCCATATGTGGGGTGGGTGGATGTTTTTATTCCATAGATAACTTGACGAGTGATTGAATGACTTAAGATTGACTCCCATATATGCATTTTCCTTTGGCCAGTTGAAACCTTGGGGATAATACAACTCAAGTAAAATGGTTTAAATTGGATTTTATTAGCATATTCCAAAATGAGCAGCTATAGCAGGGGATATTATTTTGAACATGATATTAAAATAAAGAGCAGTAGTTTTCTGCCCTAGGTAGGAAATATCATCTTAGCCATCATTGTCATCCTCATGATTTACTCTTTTTGACCATGGGGAAGTTGCCATCTGAAGACACGAGTTTTGTGGCTCACGTGGTCACTGGATTGCTCCATTGTTTCTCTGAGGCTGAAAATGCTCTCACCTAGTTTGTGTCTTGTCTAAAAATGGAAGGACAATCTCAGCCTTGTTATTTTTGCCTGCCATCGAAGCATCTTTCTCCGTCAGCTAGCTACGTTGATCTGCAAGCCTTCTGTTGATCCTGTAGACTATAATTTATGATTACGATTTTAAAAAACATCTCTTTTCTATGACGCATTTTTGTAACAATGTAATATTTTTAGCTTTTCTTTTATTCAGCGTGGAGAATTGCAAAGAAATAAACACATAGACTCACTTAGATAACTATGATTTAAACAGCAACAACAAATTTAAAAAGCAATATGTATCTCGTGTGTGCAAAGCAACACAGGGTGGGAGATATATATGTGTGTGTGTGTGTGTACATGTGTATCTGTTTGTCTGTATAAAGAAGAGTAAATAGTCTCCTCTATTTTGCCACTTCCTTTTCCCTAAAGGAAATTTCTGTTAAATTTTCTTATTATTCCCTCTATTAATACAAAGTCTGCCTTTTCTGAATTCTTTTTCACATAAAAGGAATCAGACATCATGTACAATTCCATATATTTCCCCTCTATATAAGCCCATGAAGGTCAGAATAGTTATGATATGAGCGGATTATGCTCCATTGATCCCTTTTGGTTGTTTTCAGGTTTTTGTTCTTATTTATTTACTGTTATTAAAAAAATGCTATAATAAACAATCCTGGACGTTTGAGCAGACCTTTATAAGTCTGTCTGCAGGGTAAATTCCTGCCAGTTGAATCCCTGGTCAAAGAACATCGTATAATCTGACAGTTATTGCCGGATTGTCTTCATTATTCTTGCAGTAATAGTGTCTACATGTGTCTGTGGCACGTATTTTAAATGTAATTCCTAGTTTAATTTCTTTATTATTTTGGCCTTCCAGTATTATGCGAGATAGGACCCCCACGTTAATGCTATTTCAATGCCGTTTCATCTTTATTATTAATATTAATACATTCTTGCTTGCCTTGATCCCTGCAGAGGAAAATCCAAAGTCCATAAGTGCACGCTCGTAGTTGCTGTGGGTGGAGGACTAGAATTGCCTTGCGTGGCTTTCTCGCTCCCCGCTATGAGCTGCTCAGTGTCTAGGAGGCCCCGTTGTTGATGTGCTCTGTCTATTTTATGGTATTTCCTGCAGGAGGAAGGCTGAACAAGGACCTGCGACATTTCCTCAGTCAGCGGTTCCAGAAAGGGTCTCCTGATCACGAGCTGCAGCAGACCATACGGGATAACCTTTACCGCCACGCTGTGCCTTGTGAGTAACTCAGCTTCGGCGTGTCACCGCTGGGTGGGTGGGTGGGTGTGAAATGTCCAGGGGAGAAGGAAGAGCTTGGTGCTGGCTCTGGGACACTTGGTGGCTTGCCCACCACGCGACTCGGTAAAAGTTAGGGGGGGTCATACATGACAAGTGGGACAGACAGCACAGCGTCGTGGTGTGCGTGGGTTTTGGTCCCAGCGCTGTTGCTTATGGTTTGTCATGCCTGTGACATGCAAATGACTGGCCCTTTGTGAGGTCCACTCTTGCCACGTTGGTGGAAAGGCCGTGTCAGTAACATGAGCTTCATGGAACTGCTGGGAGGAGACGATGGGATGAGGTACTCAAGGCGTTCTGGAATGTGTTGGCCTGGAGCGAGTCTCTGTACATGTTAACTGTCACCATTACTGATGGGTGGCCCAGGTCAGGGGCCTTTAGACCGGCCTCTGTGGAGACCAGCAGGTGCTGGCAGCCCCTTGGTGAGGGGCAAACCTCAGGGCTCTCCCTTCCTTCCCAGGCCTCTCCTCCTTTCGGCCAACTTTATCGGATTCATAAATCACGATTCCGTGTCCGATTTTGTTTGAGGAAATGTTGTCTACAGAGTAAAAAAAAACCCAAATCCCCCAAACTACTGGATTAGACCAAATCCTAGAAAGCAAGGCACAGAACATAGGAATTCTGAAAGCAGAGTTTTTGAGTTAAAGGCAGCCAGACAGTCAGTCTGTCTGTCTGTCTGTCTGTCTGTCTACATACAGGTAGATAAAAGTGGCAGCTCAACTGTGGAGAAGTGTCATTGTGTCCTGCCGCACGGTGTTCATGTACAGCTAAACATAAGGGATGGATCCTGGGAGGATGTGTGGTGGGTTTAATTTCTTTCCTATGAGGAAAGAATGATTCTGATTTTATTACTTGGAATTTTTCTTTTTCCTGTCTATTATCTGGTCTTTCAGAGATTGCAAAAAAAAATTTTTTTTTTTAAGAAGTACCATTTTTTAACCAGCAAAAGAAAGGAGCAATAATTTAATATTCAAGGTACTCTGCTTATTGTTGTGATTTCTTTGCAACAAAGGATTCTCTTAAAAAAATAATAATATCTTGCAAGTGATATGATAGAATGCTAATGTTTCCAGATATTACTGTGAAAACAGCAAGTGGAACTCATCTAGTGAGTTAGACTGTAAGTCTAGAGTCTAACCTGTGACTTGGAGAAAAGAGGTTCTAAAACAGCCCCCATTCTTCTACTTTACTCATTAATAAAACTGAGAGGAGAAGAGATTTCCTGTAAGTCACTTGGGACAGGGCCCCAAGGTTGTGTCCGACTCCGGAGTGGGACAGCCTTTGACGGAGAAAAAGTGGTGATCCCGTGTTAACGTGAATTTGTGGCCCTTGGTTCTTTTAGTCTTTCAGGATTGGAGCTGAAAACTGTAATCCTAATAACATCCTCACCGCAATTCCTTATATTTTGGATTAATAATAATTCCTAATGCTAATCGCATGGATGGGGGGGCAGGATTATCCCCCTTTTACAGATCGGGAAACTGAGGCACTGAGGTAAGCTAATAAATAAAATCTAGGCTAAAGGTGACCAAGGTGTCAGGTCTCCTGAGTCTGCCAGTTCCCTGCCTCTGCCACAGTGTCGAGTTTTATTCTTACAGTTACCCGGTGAAGTTGGGGGTCTTTTAACACCCATTTTACAGGTGGGAGAACAGAGCCACAGGGATTAAGTAACCAGTAAGTGGCAGATCCTGGTCTTTTGAACTCCTGAGCCACCTAGGGCTGTTCCTGTGGCTGCATCGTGGCTGCCTCAGAAGTTATAGTACGGCAGGTTGAATGCAATTTTGCACAATTCAGTAATTGCAGAATCATGATTGTTCTCTCTGCAATTTTTCCCCTACTTAAATTCCAATTTAAGAAATGGGGATGAGGCAAATGAGCATACCATTTCTTGGTGCATCTGTGGTGTTACCATGGCTACGTTTTTGGCAAGCTCGCCCATTTATTTTTCCCACTGATTTATTGGACCTGACTGTGAGCTAAATGGCTTGATTTTTAAGCTTACTACTATGTAGGCATTAGGGCAAAAATGACTTCTGTCTTTTAAAAAACACTGGAAAAAAAAAACACTTTTGCCTTTGCTTGTATAAAGCCCTGGGTATTGGCATTTTGTTTCCACGAAACCAGTAAAACTAGGAGTTTGGAAAACAGAAGTGTTGTTCCTGCTGAAAGAGAAAACAGGTAACAATTCATTTTACATTTCCTTCATAAAATGGGAAGGAAATTCAGGAGAGGTCTGTTTCCGGGTCTGGTGTGTGTGTGCGCCTTTGAACGTGAGCAGACCAGGGCTCGCCTGGGATTCTGTTGCGGGCTTGGGTTACTCTGGGCACATTTGTGTTTATTTTGATTCTCTGGCCTGTGGCCTGGTGCAGGAGAGCTCTCCGTGCTTTCTGGATCAGGGAGCCCCGATTTGGAGAATGGATCGTCCTGATTATGCTGTAACAGGGGCCGCCGGGAAACTCGCTCATGGAATCTGTATATTCCAGAACTTCCTGCCACTGATATTTCAGTGACTTCAGCATTTTGAGAAGGGATGACCTCATGAACAGGTGCTTGCAGTTGAGGGTAGACTTTTTCTGTACATTTCAGGAGGCTCATGGGTTATTAGCAACGAAGAGATAAAAAAGCTCCTTCATTCTCAAATTGTTTCTAGTGTCATTGCAATGCAATAGAGCTATATGCGCATCTTTTCCACTTAGGGGTCAAGTTTTACCCTAATTCTTTGGCAAAGGTAATGCATGTAACAGCACCCCTGTTTAACTGATAAGAAGATGAAGCAGCAAACTTTAACTTCCTCAAAATCATATCACTTCTAAACGCCACGTGACTCACATCTCATCCACTGCTATTTTTATTTTTTTATTTGAGATATAATTCACGTACTATGCAATTTACCCATTTAAAGTGTCCATTCAGTGCTATTTTTGTTACAGTTAATTATTATTCTCCACTCCCCTTTTATTTCCCCTTTATTCCAGAACTCTTATTATTTCTACGGTATGAAGAAAGGTCATCTTAGTTGGAATTTAATTATATTTACCATTGAAAAGCATCACCAAAAAAAAAAAAAATTATGAGGGAAAAGAGAACCAGATGCAGAGTGAGTCAGAAGTCTCGGCGTGAAGTCTGAGGGCTGCCCTGCTGGGTATGTGGCCTGGCGTAAGTCACGACGCCTCTCTGAGTCTCACTCTCTCTTTAGTAAAATGGAAATAGTCGTACCTGCTCAGCCACTGTCTCGCCAGAGACACACAGCGGCCCTTTGAGATGGGTCTCCTTAGTGGAGACAGAGGCTCAGAGTGGTTGATACCTTGCCTAAGGTCACACAGCAAGTAGCATGGTCAGGGTTACACCAGATTGCTTTAACTCCCCACTTGGGTGTGATTGACAATAGCCTGATTAGAGGAACATAGAAGGAGACCATTGAGAGTAAAAGAAAAAAGAAACAGTGTTTCTCATTGCTGAAGTTACAGTTTCAGCTGTTTAAAACGATGAGGTTTTATGGCTTCAGAGTAAGAGTAATGTAAAGCACAATACCTTAAAAATGAGAATATTCTCTCTGATTTTCAAGACATACTCTGGTGTGTTCAGTAGAATGTTCATAGTTAATGATTTATTCAGATTTTTAAAATTAGGATATCTAGGTTTATCTTATTTCCCATTCGATCTTTTCTTTGCATGCCCATGGAAAACTACCTATAGATAAATGGGTTTGAAATGTGTGTAAATGTGCTCGCTTCTCTCGTTCCTTAGAACCATGTGGATAATATTCCTGTCTCCTTTCACCTCTGGTTTTGTCCACATTCTCAACCCATTTCTGCTGCGTGTTTCCGCCTGACAAGCCTCGTTCCATCTTCTTGTAACTGGACACATATTATTTCCTCCTGTTTTCCCTACCTTTCCACCTGACCCCTCTGCGTTTTTTTTTTGTTTGTTTGTTTTGGGTTTTTTTTGAGACACAGTCTCACTTTGTTGCCCAGGCTAGAGTGAGTGCCGTGGCATCAGCCTCGCTCACAGCAACCTCAAACTTCTGGGCTGAAGCGATCCTCCTGCCTCAGCCTCCTGAGTAGCTGAGACTACAGGCACGTGCCACCATGCCCGGCTAATTTTTTCTATATATATTAGTTGGCCAATTAATTTCTTTCTATTTATAGTAGAGACTGGGTCTCGCTCTTGCTCAGGCTGGTCTCGAACTCCTGACCTCGAGTAATCCTCCCGCCTCGGCCTCCCAGAGTGCTAGGATTACAGGTGTGAGCCACCGTGCCAGGCCCTATGGTTTGTTTTTTTTTTAAGTTTTAGCCAGATGCTGCTTCCTCCAGGAAGTCCTCCATGGCTGCCACAGATTGGGCCTGTTGCCCTCCTCCCTGCTTCCTGATCCACCCTCTGTAACCTCCTTTGAGCACATTTCTGTTCCTGATTGTACCGTTGGCTGCGTGTCTGCCTGTCCTGCCAGAGTCTGCTTCAGGGTCAGCCCGCACCTAGCTCAGTGCCTGGACCACAGGAGAAATGTTTGTTGAATGAATGAACAAATGAAGAAATGGGAAAAAAAATGCCCTTCATTTTCTTTTTTTTTTTTTTGGTTACTCAGTAAAGTTGCTTTTGCCACGAGGCTTCCCGAATTAAAGGTGTATCTCAGAGGTTTGGGCCCCAAGAAGGGTCACAGGTGGTTGATAAGGACTTCACTCGTTCCTTGGCCAGGAATCCAAGCACGGAGGGAAAGTGTCAAGGCTCCTCTGAGCTTTGGACGGGAGCACCCGTTTACGCCTCCTCCTAATCGCAGTCTAGATATCGCCGTGCCTCCTGCATCGATAGTCATTTTGTGACTTCTTGTCCCGGCTGATGCGACAACACCCGAGATCCTTGCTTTGTGGCATGGCCGCTTTTCCCATGGAGATGAACGTGTTACCTGACAGCGCCTGTCATTTGCTGCACTGTTGCTGTCAAAACGA